GTTTGATAAATTACAAGGGCAACAAATGAGCTAGGTTGAATTTTCAAATTTGCCAATCATATTTGAATCATAGTGAATCTGAATCTCTATTTGTTTGGTACTCAGTCACAGAAAAATTATTTAAGAGATAATTTAAATATATGCCAAGAAATATAATGAGAATCTCAATTAAAAATGTTGCTATTATTTATTATAGTTAGTAAATTAATAACATGTTCATTTTGTATACGCGTGAGTAGTTATTGTGGTGATCCGGGTCTTCCACCCGACGCCACGCTATACAACGTAAACACCGGTCGTATTCGTTACCACTCGGGAGAAGTGGTCCGATACCGGTGTAGTCCTGACTTTCATACGTTTAGTCAAACCAGAAAATGTGTTTCCGGCCGTTGGGTCGGAGAGATGGCCCGATGTGGTAATGGTTCCCATATTTTAACACTATTTCTGTTTCATTTGTTTGTGCTTTTTATTGTCGATTTTGTGCCAATAGTTTTGAAATAACAGATAAAATAAGTTTTTTAATCATTTGAAAGGGGATTAGGGTTTTGCAGATTAAATCAGTTCTACTTTATTGTTATTTTTATACAACTTTAGTGTTATATGAGTTGTTTGTTATTACAAAAAATAGAAATAAAAACAGAAAGGTTAAAAATATATTGACTTAAAATATCGCTTAAAATAGTTTATAAAATATTTAAGTGGTACTTTTCTCTCAATCAACAGGTATTCCCATTGAAAACGATATACAATTGGTTCAAGTGTTTAATTGCAGTGACAGTGAAAACAGTACAACAAATAATGAAATATTAAATTTGCAATTAAACCAAACGGAAAACCCATTACTATTTGCCAACTCCTTTCACGCCAGTCGTCACGAATCGGGTCCCATAACAGTGAACGGCTCCGAGTGTTATATCTGGAAATTCAAACTCCAGAGGCCGACAATCATACCATTCTTGACCATAGACTTCGCCACTCAACTCAACCCAAAGGAGACAATCAACGCATCGGTCGACGACTTTAACGTCACTTCAATGCGAACCGAAGTGTTAATTGTGGAGCCGTTCGTGAGTCCGTACAGAATTTGTCGCCGATTAAGTAAATCGGATTTCCTTAACGGCGATCCCATCACTAACTCAACGTATTTGTTGAGTGGATATTATTTTCGTTGCGATAATATTGGCGAAAATGAGTACAAACTCGAGTCGAAGAGAGTGTCGCAAACATTTTTGGTTCAAACCCGAACTCAGTACAGACGAGACGTCCATTTAGTGGCCGTATTTTTGGCCACACATAAGATCGATCACAAAACCGATAAACCCGAGTGCGGCAAACCTGAGACTGTAAGCACTGGTGTTAACTTTCGGGAATCAAATTTAGGTAAAAGTTTTGTTAATTAAATAATTTTGTCTAAAATAATTAACATGAGGTTTAGGTTTATCTCAGTTTCAGTTTCAATGCAACGATTCATTCAGTGATATGACGCCAAACAGACTCCAAACCCATACTCCTGTCACCACAACAGCCGGCAATCCGTGGTATTCAATGAATTGTACAATCAATGGCTTCTTTAAGGGCCAGTTCCCGATCTGTGTGCCAAAGACTCAATGCCCGGGAATTGAGTACTTGGAAGAGACCAAAGACCCAAGTGTTGTCATTGAATCCCTAGAAAACGTTTTCTACTTAAATGCTAGTCATTGGGTGCCCACAGAGTATAGTCATGTGAACTACGGCTGTATAGATGCCGAGCATATAGTTATCGGCAGACTTTCCAGGATTTGCCTGAAGGGCGGCATTTGGAGCAGTAATGTACCGAAATGCTCGGCTTATGTAACACCAGGTATAATTTACTACTAAATCTAGAATCTAGATTATCAATATAATTGTAATTTTAGATTCGCTGAGCCCAGTGGCACAATCTCCATGGACTGTAATCGCTCTGATGTCAATATTTTTGCTCTTGTTTTTGTCATTTGTTTTTCTAATTGTTCGCAAATATGTAACAAATATGAGGAAAGAGTTAATGAGATATAGAAATAAATCGCGAAGAAAACAGACATCGGTTTACGCGGACGTGAAGAGCAGCAGTATTTACTACATCTACGATGACTGCGAGACCAGTACTTCTGGGGCCCGGTTTGGGAGTCGACCAAACAATAGGGTCGCCAGAAAAAGTCATCCAAAATATAAATATGATGCCGAGTATATTGATTTTGAGGGCTCATCTAGCGTGGACAATTCCGAACCATTGTACATCCCTATACTACCGCCCACTTAATTATGTTTATATCATAGTTTTTAAAATATTAATTAATGTAATTAAAAATAAATTGTAATTTTATATAGTTTTCTTGTATATTCTTCATTACTTGATATACTATTTCAATGAACAAAAAACAAATCATATGATTATACATCAGATAAAAAATCTTTATTTAAATGAAAGTCATGTAAATGTATACTTGGATTACATTATAATATGATTGTTTTGACTAAGAATTTGTTAATAATTTTAATAAAATTTTGATTCAATATTTATAACAATGAAAATTTTTATGTTGTTATCAAATTAATCAAATAATAGACACACATATCATGTTAATTGTTAATTAGAGCATAAAATTATTCGCAGCCCTTATGTGAGACATCAAACACATATCGTATTAATTAATATGACATTCAAATTGAATGTCAAATACTGTGTTTAACACAAATGTTATTTAAAATTGTTTTTAAAATTTTGTATATAATGTTACGTGACTTTGAATGCAAAGACAATTTAAATGCTTATTGAATGTGAATTAATGCCAAAAAATTTACAATACTTTTTGGTAAAAGCGTTCATTGCTTTTGGTATTTGTCGATAAGATTTGCTAAAAATAAATAAATTGAGGCAAAGATTGAGAAAACGATTTAACGTATGAATTGAAGGCACTATTCTCTACACTATTCTCTACTCCATTGAGACTTTCCATCCGAACCCCAGAAGTGATGTATTTTTAAACCACAAAAACTA